CTCTATTGGAGAAGAGGGATAGAAAATACGTCTCTGAGCATCAACCCAAGTGGGTAAAGAGGTGCTGATAATGGTGGTATCACAATTTTACTCGTACTCGTCGAGTTCGTTGAAAACAAAACGTCAGTGTAGTGAGCTTCGAAAGTAGCAAATGGACGATCTGAACAGGGCATGGTGATAACTTTGTTATTCCATATGCCTTTAAAACATTGATGATAAGTAGAAGGAACAATGCCAAAATGATGCATCCATGCGCGTCCTAGCAAGATATGATAGAACGTGTCACTATCGATGACATGGACTTTGGTAGAAGCTTGGATTTGTTGACAGCCAAATCGATATTGACATAGCCCATCATTTGGCGAAGGTCATTGTCGAATCCTGCCACTTCAATTGGTTCCTTGATTAAGCGATCTTCAGGGATACCTGTCTTGTGAAAAATGGAAAGAGGCATGATGTTGATGGATGATCTGTTGTCCAGGAATACACGCTTGAACTCTACTCCCTTGATCGTAACGAGAATATATAGTGGTTGATTTTGGGCCCCTTGGCTTTGTTTATCTGCATAAGTGAATGAGATAACCTTTATGTTGCCCATTGGCGTGGGCTTAGCTGTAGCAGCCACCAGACAGAGGTTAGCCTTTGAGGGAGAGGGTTGTGTACTATGTTCTGGGTTTGTCTCTTCGAGCTCGTCATAACAAGAAATAGTTACTTCGATGGTTAAGGTATGGGAATTGGCAAATATCCTTGGGAAGAGTGACTTCTAGGCCACCTGTTGCCATTCGTCACTGGAAAAGGCGGCGTAATCCCCAGCAACTGATGGTGGGATAAGTGGTACTCTGATGATAGGCGCAGAAATCAACACTAACTCTATCTGCTCAGGTGAGCTCTCGGCGGGGAGTAGGTAAGACGACGACACCATCCTTAACCCATTGAGTGAGTGTATTCTTAACCTCTTCGATGCGGATTAGAAAGGGCGGTGGTTCCTCGCCCATAGGCTTAGACTATGGAGTTTTGTCAAATCGCTTTCAAGGGTGGTCATCAATGGCAACTGTGGGCGTGGGTTGGCGATTGGATACCTTTGGAGCTTCAAATTTTGGGGTGTCATACTTGGGAATTATATACTTAGCAGCGATGGGCTTGAGGTCCTTGAGATTTCTAGCTATAATCTTGAGTTCACCGAAGCTGGCGATTTTGGGATTGATTAGATGGAGCTTATAGATTTGTAGCATACCCTGGATACAAATATCAACCAAATCCATCTCATTGTTGCTTTCAAAACATTCACCTGCTCGATTCCCGAAGCAGTTGATGAAGGTGAGGACATCATCAGTATCTTCTTGGGTTTCTTTGGTGAGAGAGAGTGGTAACACGTTCTTTGGCTTGATCTTTCAATTGTTCCCAAGTGCTGATTGAGTCAAGCTCGAGATTGAAAAACCAACGGTATGCACGATCTGTTAAGGATTTGGAAAATTCCCATAGTCAGACCACATGATTGTCACGAAATATGCTTAAGGCTTCGACGAAACGCATAACGTGCTCCCTTGAATCACCCATTTTCCATTGAACTGTGGAAACTTGGGGACCAAATATCCCTGTGGGTAGGGAGTCTGTACGATAGCTCGAGGGTAGGGTGGTTCACTACCAAAATCCAAAGCCCTAGAGGTTGGGGTACTCTTTTTGAAAAGATCACGAACCTCAGAACGTGTAAAGACCTCTTTTGGGGCGGAGTAAGAATGAGAAGGGAAAGTGAGTGGTGTTTTAGGGTTAGCTTGTGCATAGGTGGGTGGGGAGTAAAACATAGATTCCTTTCCCCTATGAGGGAAAGTGTGAGGGGCTCCAGGAGTTGTCTGTAGCGTGGGGTTGTAAGGTTCTGGAGTAGGTTGTAAAAGTAGATCTGTATTGTCAACTAGACCCGTTGGTGATTGTGTCATGATTGGCTGCTTATTCTGTAGAAAGAGATGCGTGCCAGCTGGGGTAGTGGCGTCGAGTGCTATCTGATTAGGTGGGGTTAATTTTGCCTGGTCTGCAGTAGGTGTAGTTGGAACCCTTTTGTTAAAAGCATGGAGGGCTTCCTCAAACTTTTTCATTCGGGTCATCAGTTGATGGTTGATGTTCTGCATTGTTTCTAAGATGGCATCTGTGCTAAATCTGTGCCTTGACCTTGATGAGCAAGATCTGGCACTAGTGGCTCTGGCGCTGGTAGCTCTAGCGCTGGTGGCTGTAACGGTGGATACCTTTGCCTGTGCTGGTGGGGGATGGATTTCTTCTGGATTCATCATCTTGCTAGGATATCCCCAGCGGAGTCGCCAAATGTAGATACCTGTTTCTACGATACAGTTGAAAAGTCAAAGGGTCTGGGATATATCATTTAAAACAATGTGAGGAAAGCAGAAGAACTAAGGAAGGGGGGAAAGCTAGCCCAAAGCGAGGACTGGAGTGATGGTAGGAGAGATGATGCCTGGAGTGTATGGTCCGAACAGCTTGCCTATAATCCTTTTCCGTTCCTTCCTTTTAGGTCATTTAAGAGGCACTTATTGGGCCTCCTTCTAGATAGGGTAGGGCCCATATAATTTTAAAGATCACGCTGCCTTAATTCCTATCCTTTAGGACCCATTTAATAAATGTAACGCTCATCCTTAAATGACCCAGGTAGGATTATGTGTAACGGTAGCGATACTTACTCTGGATATCTCTCACTCTGGTCCTCGAATTGGGTCTTGTCTTTGCAAGACTTGACTAGTTTTCTTTCCTCCATTCCAAAGTCCCTTCTATATTCCCTTAATAATGAAAAAGTCCTACCATTTACTCTTCGTTCGGGTTAGGTCGGATCGAGGTTCTAGGCCCCGTCGATTAATGATTCATGGATCGAGGTTCTAAGCCCGTCGATCGACAATTCGTGGTCGGGTCGGATAGAGATTCTAGGCCCGTCAATCGACGATTCGTAGTCGATTTGATCGAGGTTCTAGACCTGTCGATCGACGATTCGTGGTCGATCGGGTTGAGGTTCTAGGCCATCGATCAACAATTCATGGTCGGGTCGGATCGAGGTTCTAGGCCCTTCGATCGACGATTCATGGTTGGGTCGCTGTACTCCTCGACCCAATCTTATTCTTTTTTGAACTCAATTGTGATTTTTTCTTTCATGGTTGGAGTAATGATGTCGTGGGGGCCACCTAGATTTGACTAGGTGACGTGGCTTTACCACATCCACAATGTTCATGAAAAGTTAATAATTAAATTGTTTTAAAATTTTTCTACTTTAAATTTTTATTTAAACAATTAATTTCAAAAATTAAAAGGTAAATTTATGCAAATTTAATAAAGAATATCTCATCAAATTTGTATGAATTTATTTAATAATTTATTTCAATAAGAAAAATAGATTATGTAATTCAGTAAGAAAGAGCATTATGGTCATTTAATGAAATATAGTTTAGGCATTGAGTCATTTTGTAATAAAATGTGATAATTGAAAAGGTATTCTGCACAAAAATATAGTTCAGGGAGTTATTTGCAAATTTAAACATAGTTCAAGGGGTTTTTTGCACTTTACCATTGGCAACAATCGATCGAAGAAGTGGATTCTGCAAATCAAACTCCAACTCATCACTTTACATTTGAATCACTCCCTCAACATCATCAAATTCATTTCCTCACGTCCCCACCACGGAAACACCTCCACCCGTCGTTGCCTCTTCTTCTCTATCGTCTGAACCGCCGTCGATTTCGTTGCCTCATCTTTCTTAGTCATGGAGATTTGCAAAGGTCATGTCTTCGTCCTTCTCAGTCCCAAAAAATTCATCAAAATTTTGCCTTCTTTTTATTAATTTGGGTTATTTGTGAGTATAATTTTAGGGTTCGATTTTGTTTTACCCCATTCGATTCATTCTCTGTCATCGCCACCATCATCACCACCATCGCCTGAGTTTGGTTGAAAGATCAAAAATGAAGTCACGGTGGTTTGGAGGAGGACTTGTGAGAGTGGCAACCAACGAATGAGCGATAAACTAATTAAACCCAAACCTAAGAATGTCCATTTAACCCAATTATTCATGTATTCAAAGTTTTAATGATGTTTGGCTTTACTTATAATTGTTAATGGGGTGGACTAATGTTTTTTTTGGGTGAGTTAATACTAATAATAATTTATTATTATTATTATTATTATTATTATTTTTAGAGGGTTAGGTTGAAATTACCTATAATAAAAATATATATATATAATAATAAATAAATAAAATGGAATGGGTTTGAGCCCACCAAAACATACACATACCCTGCTTATATATATATATATATGTATATGTATATATATTAAAGCTGAAAAAAATGATTTTAAAGTGGAGGAGTTGGACAAAATCCTTTCACTAATTACATTTGGTATTTGATTGGGTCATTTAGTGACCAATCAAATACTCTATGCGACCAAAGGATTCTGCAAACTCTTCAACCAAGTATCACTGACATTCTTTGTCGTCATTAGTTGATATACTCTCAATAAAATATTGTAAAAATATTAAAAAATTGAAAGAAAAAAAAATATATACTTTAGTTTGACTTTAATTCAAAATTTAATACTGTAGATTCAAATCTTTAACTCTTGCTCCATGACTAATGAGTAATGGAACCATTAGCTATAAACATATTAAAATATTTTGCTCCCCTAAAATCAGGCATTTTAAATTATCATAATTTTATTAAACAAACTTTTTAAAGTCAAAACATTCAATCTGATCCAAAACCCCCGAATGAAATGGATGCGTCGGTGAACATAAAACAAAAGTGAAAAAAAAATTAAGAAATAAAATTCAAGTAGATTTAGAATTCGGTGCCAGAAAACAATATTTTAAAAGTCACCTCAATCACTTTGAGTGAAGTTCAAGTAATATTACTAAAAACCATAAACAAGAATCACTTGGAAAATGAACAAGGAAGATAAAACATATAATTGAATTATTGCTAGCAAACAAGTAAAGAACAACCATTGCTACTTCAAGTATTGCTCGAGTGATCTACTGCGCGAGCCATGTGCAGGATTGAATTATTGGTCAATATTGTAACAGAAAATCATACTATTGAAAAAAAAAAAAAAAAAAAATACCAACTCATAAATCTGAGAATGAAACTCTTGAACAAGGATATAGAATTTACAAAATGGAGGTTGAGAATGATCACAATATGCCTAAATCGCGGTAAGGGGTCTTATACTCGTAGCATTACAACAAGTATAGGAATGTACAAATTTTGTGCTTGTAAATGCTGCATGAGAGATGAAATCACGCCGTATGAGTAATATTGACAGCCCTGTTGAGCCTCTCAAGAATGGCATTGGCCTTCCTCTGAGCCCTTGAAGTCCCATTCTGAGCAAGCTTAGAGATTGTCTTATGAGAATTCTCTTCATCTCTCATCTCCTTCCACTTACTCCGATCGCTAAAGCATATAGTGTGGAGGATGGCAATACAATTCTCGTTGTTTCGAGCACAATTACTCTCCCTGATTATGCTAAGCAAGCAGGGAACAGCACCGAACTTTCCCAATTCCTCTACTGCCTTTTGATTGCTTGAAAGCATAGCAAGTATAGCCAACAACTCATCAACGTGCATACCATCCATTATCTTCTTCAGTATCACCCCCACAGCACCGTCCCTCACGGCTCTTGCCTTGTTCTCGTGTAGAATGCAGAGGTTAAAAATCGCTGACGCAACATCTTTCATAGCCAATGGGTGCCCTTCTTCTAGGAGGTCAATTAGCGGTTTTAGGGCCCCGGATTTCCCTATAATTGCCTTGTTTAAGTCAAGAGCCGATAACGTGAAGAGGGCTGCAGCTGCATTGCTCCTTGTTTCGATTGTTCCGGATCTTAATGAATCTATAAGAAGAGGGAAAACAAGTGTGCCCATTGGGCTCTCGGCAATAAGCTTCTTGTTGTTGTCATGGATGGAAAGATTCAAAAGTGTTGTGATCAAGTCTTCCTTGAGATCAGGGTGAATGTCACTTTGGGACTTGGTTTGAGAGAGGGGCTTAAGCAAATCAGGTATGGCGTAATTAGACTCGCCAAAAAGAGCCCGGAATGAAGGCATCCTCTTCGTCAACAACCTCAACTCCCTGGCAGCTTCTTTCTGATCAGAAAGTGTGGATGACATCTTCTCAAGCAAAGAAAGAAAATAGTCTCTATCTGCATCGGTTATTCCAACCTCATTTGAATATTGATCAGGGGCCGGCATTTGGACTCCATGATTCTTGCACCATTTTGATATCATGTCTCGAATCAAGTAATTGGGCGTGAGGGTAGTATGTGAAAGCACTTGTTGCGTTCGAGGACATGTTCGATTCCCCCCTCTTAACCATTTTTGGATGAATGGTTTATCATAAGTCTGCACAACCACAACAAAGTGTTACCAAAAAATAATAATAATAATAATAACACAATCATAAAAACAACAAAGATATTGAAGAACCAGTACACAGAGTAAGACACAGCAAAATCCAAAAAGTGCAGTACTTGCATAAAATGAAATCAATCTATCAACAACCAGTGGCCAATACCTGAACCAAAAGAGCTCAAAAGCTCATCATTGAATCAAATTCATGTTATTTGAGGTCTCTTAACTAACTTTTGTACTAATTTTCGGGAGAGAAAAAAAAATAATAAATAAATAAATAACTTTTGTAAAATTAGGAAAATGAAAGAAAGAACATTTCTTCAAACAAAAAACCCCGAAATTAAAAAATTGTTCACGTATTCAAGCTTTTCGAGACCGACATTACAAACCTATACAGAAACATTTCAGTTCCACCAATACAGAATTGAATTCCCACACCAACAATGACGAATTTCGAACCAAGACTATATCAAACACAAGCAAATTTACTTCAAATTCATTCCACAAATATATATACATCAATTAAAATTAATACGTAGAATACAAATTCTAAAAAATATATATATATATATTAATAAAAAAAAACCCTAATTGTGAGACTACTGACCTGACCAGAGGAAACAACAACAGGATCTATCATGAGTTCGTTGGAAAGAGGGCAACGAAACTCCTCAGGAAAATCCAACGAGTCGTGTAGTTTCAGAGGCATGGGTTTCTTGAGCTTCAAATCTCTCAATGCAGAGAGCGTTTTGCTGGCTCGATTGATGGTGTCGATGTTCAAATCGTCGTCGTCCCCGATTGCCTTCACGAGCCTCTGCAACTCCTTCTTCAACTCCGTAGCCTTCGCGACCATCGTTGGATCGCTCTCGAAGACCCCTGTCTTGGCCATAGCGTTGTTCGGTAGATCACAAAAAAAGAGATCGAATTGAGATGTTGTGGTGAATGACGAAACAGAAAGTGTGAGTAGTAGTCTTCTTGTTCATCTGCGCTTTCGGCTAATTCCCACAATTCTCTCTCTCTCTCTCTCTCTCTCTCTCTCTCTCACACTTCCTACTTTCTCTCTCTATAATTCTCTCCCTCTCACTGTAGAGGCAATGACATGAGTGATGAATGCAGATGTGTGTGCAGTCTATTGTGTGTAAGTGTGTGTGAGGGTCCATGGTGGTCCACGTTTTAGGCAATCACGGAATCCATGGCCTTACAGCTGGCACGCGCGGGTAAAACTTGCATAGTACTCGTCATATGGAGGTTTACCTACAACCAGTTCTATTTTAAATATACATTATATTCTACTACTTTTTTATTTTATTTTATTTTATTTATGTTATTGAGGTTTAGATCTGAATAAATACTCCATTATACTACACAAAAATCACATAAAATTGAAGGTATATATAAACATGCTTGTGTATGTCTAATTATTTTTTGGTATATTTTTATTGATTTGAATAAATAATCTTTTATAATTATTGTATAGCTGTTATTATGAATTCAACATTTATGTAAAAATTGAGATAATTAAGTATCCCATATATTATATTTGGTAAATTGAAAAGTAACGGATATATAAGAAAGAAATAAAGAATAAAAATTAAATAGATTATTTATGTGTAGCAATCACACTCGTGCCATATTGACTTTAATTTAAACATTAATAGTTACAAAGTTTACACGTTGTGTGAAATGAAATAAAATTAAACCGTTATGAATTCTTCTTTATTGCATTTCATGGTGTGTGAAATCACATCAAAATTGAAAAAGATAAAGCGTTTCTCTTTTTTTGTTTTTTTATAATTTTATATATATATATATATATATATATATAATTATCTTTTTCAAATTGACCATTTCATTTAAAAATGAAATAAAGTTAGACCTAATTCAATCCCTCTTTATTGCATCCCACTACTTATGTAGCAATCACACTCGTGCCATATTGACTTTAATTTAAGCATTAATAGTTGCAAACTTTACGCGCTTCTCACTTCTTTATAACTCCTCTATATATCTTACATATTTTACAATTATTTATCAAAATTCGAGCATTTCAATCAAAATATTGAACTTCACTTATTTTAGTCGTGTGAAATGAAATTAAGTTAAAATGGTTGTGGATCCCTCTTTATTATATTTTATGACTTGTGAAATCACATCAAAGTTATAAAATTCACGCGTTTTCTCATTTCTTTTACAATTATCTTTTTCAGATGGAGTATTTCAATTGAAATGTTAAAATGAAATAAAGTTAGACATAAATGAATCCTTCTTTATGGCATCCCACGACTTAAATTCCTTGAATGGAACATTTCATTCGAGGCCAAAGAATCATTCCCATTTACGAAGTGACCATTTAATTTTTACTATTTCAATAGATTAAAAGTTGGGGCCGATTGAATTTACTGATGGAACCAAAGTTTTAATGGATGAGACAGAGTTTCGCTGGAAAGCTGTATATCTCATTGATTGTATATATAAACACACACACACACACACGAGTGAAGTAAGTTTGCTACAATCGAAAGCTTCTTCTATAAGACAAAATAGATATTTGTTGCCACCAGTTCTTCCTTCAACTCAAACTGTTTCACAAGTTACAGTATTACCCTCTTTAAGTAAGGTCAAAAACACTTTTGAACTAGGAATTGCTTAAATGTTAAGGTAAAGAAAAAAGGAAAAAGTTTAGATCTCTAATATACTATGATATTAGTAGCTAGCTTTTTTACTTTTCCATGTTAACCACATTTCAGTTCACACTGGTCAATAAATGTGTCTTACAATATGAAAACTTAGGCTATTTTTGGTATGTGTTTCGATTTTAATATTTTTATTTTTTGATGGTACTGTAATAGTAAATAGTAAAAAATATTTTATTTTGCATAGTGTCAAAATATTTTGTGAATAGTGACACAAAATTAAAACACCAATTTAGTGTTTTTTATATATTTATCTGCTGTAATGTTTGGTCTTATAGCGATGAATATTAAATTTTTTACAAAAATAGACTCTTAAATAATATTTTAAAACTAACCATTATATTTTTTAAACTTGTAACACTTTTTTAGCAAATACGTTTTTATATTCTTGCTTTTAAAAATCTTGTAACAATTTAAAGATGCCAAATATATTTACGACTCTAGAATTAAAAATAGTAAATTTATGTATATCAATAATATATTATAAAAAAATTTAAATATTAATTTTGGTTGAACTGAATTAATAAATGATAAATATTCCACAACTATCTAATAATTTTTTGAAATCAAATTAGGGTTTGAGTTTTCGATTGGATGGCAGCCAAGAGCCTACCATGTGGGATGTGGGATGTGGGATGTGGGATAGGGTTTGGGTCACCAAAATAATGGCTGCATTTCTTTTCTAAGATTACAAGAAAGGGTTATATACCAATCTATGTTGAGAGGACTACAATTATATTTAGTTCCAATTTAAATCTTGTCACTATAGGAGGGATTGGGCTTGCCAACTCACTTGTTTTATTTGGATGCAGACTCTTACTTGGATGCAATTTTAGAAACTTTACTGCTCTTTTAAAAGGAAGAGACAAAAAAGAGAATATGAGATGATTGTACTTTACTTTTCTTGATAATTGAGCAAAAAACATCTAACAAAACAAATAAAATACGTTAACTTTTGAATGGAGAAAACTTTTCAAAATTAAAGTAAAAACAATTTCGGTTTATAACTATTTTTTAATGATTTGATATTGTTAGATATTTTCATGAATGAATTAGTTTAGTCGATTTATACTGCTATTCTTTCGAATCTGTTAGACAATGATCGTGACCAATATTGCGCCTGATATCACAATTACGAACCATGATTAAGACTGAATAATCTTCACATAACAACTGTTCAAAATCTATTAAGATGAATTTCAGTCTTTGTGTGTCAAAAATTAGGTTTATCTTTTAATTTATTCAACTAAATGTATATTAAAAGATTATGGATATAAGTACATTGGGCAATAAAGCATTACATTAATCAAATATGATCAATTCAAGAAAACCACTAACCAAGTCTATATGAATATATATAGAATAATTTACCACCAGTCAACATTTTACTGCCACAAGAAAATGTTAATCAATTCACTAGTGGGAATTAATGATGTTTTAGTTGTTCGAGTGGGCCATATTATATCCCGACCTACTATATTTAACTGAAAATTAGTGTCGATAGGTAAAATGTTGATTAATCCCTTAGTCATTTGGCCGACAAGTAAGGCTAGCATATCCCATTCCTTCACTATTTCGCGATATAGTGAGAAAAATATTTTTAATATTTAAAATTTAGGTAAATAACATTGGTAATCTTTGTTTTATTTTGAATATATAAACTCGATTAAGTTTAAAAAAATAAACAAATAACAGTTCACTTGTACATGACTATATTAAGTAACAAATTTTCTAAACTATCCCGTTGGACTCTTTAAAATGCCCTTATTCTATTTTATATATAAACACACCATATCATTTTTTATTAGGATACTTTGGCCATTTTACATTTATTTTGTCTTTCACTTTTCGTTTTTAATATTTTTTATTTATACAAATACACAAGGACACTATAGTTTCTTAATAGCTCAACTGACAACAGGACCTTGTTCGCGCCAAAAATAAATATTAAGGACTTTTAAAAACTTAAAGGGATCATATATTATATTTGCATACATAGAGGTGTTTATCACTCGCAACCCTTATTTCAATTATATACACTACATTGTTCATTTGTTGTTTCATTTTTTATAGATTAATTTTAAAACATTATACACCTGTGGTTGGGGAATCATAACACATGCGTAAAATAATGATTAGAAAAACTCTAGACTTGTCTAGAGTCAACAGACGGTAGACTTGTCTAGAGTCAACAGACGGCTGATCATTCATAGTGGACTCTCGAAAATTATAGCATAATTCTTTAAATTAACAGCTATTAAACAACTTAAATTTTTATATGCAGTTGGGAGGTTGAAAAGTTTATGGAGCTTGGGATTTGAATGAACATCACCTACACAAATATATACTATCTATGTATGTGTATATGTATATATGTATGTGTGAATAAAAGAAAAAGTACAATGATGGGTAAAGTTATTCTACGTATTTACACATCTCAATTATGAGGTGATCCACTTACTGTGACTACACCAGGTATTTAGACTGACCAAATTAAACATTTCTTCTGGAACAATTTGACTAATGTCGTTGACTATCACAAATTTTTAAAACTTAAGGTATTAAAGTGTACCACAATTTTAATATTTAAATCATTTAAAAGTTCTCTCGCATGAATTTTTTTTTTTTTTTTTTAACATGTTTATATAATTTAATTATCAAATTGACAATGAGATGAGATTTTAATTCAAAATTGTATTTATGACATTTGAGTTAGGAAGCACCGGTACTTTTACGAAGGAGCTGTTGTATCCGTATCAGACACCGACACTCCTCGAATATGTGTCCATAAATAAAAATTAATTTTATTATTTCAGATACTTTGCCTGCACTTCCTGGACACTACACCGACACTTTTAGGACACTTTGCCAACACTTTTCGGACATTTTTAATGCAAGTATACCTAGTAATCTTAAAAATAATATAAATACTATCATGACAAAGTAGTGAAATAATGGTATATATATTATAATTTTTTTTACAATAATAACATAATATTATTTTCTAATTTATTTCGGAGCAACTCTTAGTATAATAATTATAAAATGAATTAAAGTTTTATAATACGGTTACTAAATAGATGTATACTAACAAAAATTTATATTGTTATATAACTGTATCCACGTTGCACCCGTATTTTACATTTTAAAAATTTGACGTGTCAACGTATTCATGTCCCATATCCATGCTACATAGCATTTGAGAGAGCAAACTCTCTACTTTTGGGCAAAATATATATATATATATATATATGCCCTTTCACACTGTTGGGTTGTGGATGGGCCAAAGCTAATTTATTGAATTATTGAGGAGCTATCACTGTTGGGCTTTGGAATAATGAGGCGGAGGTGGGATTCCTTATTACATCAAAGCAAATTGCCAGCTTGGATGATTGTCCTTACGTGTATGGAATGGGCCCA